TTGCAAATAAACTCAAAATATAATAGCATTTGAATCAAATAAAAAACACACAAGTCAAGGTAACCTTTTTCTGAAAGGATGTTTTAAGAGTGGTGTATACCTTCCCTTAATCATAACTAATCCAGTACCTTTAATCTCTGGAACCAGTGTCTAATTTTAGATTTCTAATTCCCTCAAATTACTAGATGACGACTCTAATAAAATTTTTATTTCTCCTAATCAAGAAAAAAAACTATTTATTTATTTTTATTAAAATAAACAAAAAAGAATGGAGCCGATCGCCCGACATAATGTAGCGACACACTGATGATAATGATTTACAGTGCAGGGGTTTCAGCTGCCCTCATGCCTGTACCGCGTATTTAAAGTGAGGCTTTTGTAACCTGGAAGCAATCATATACGAACACCATACACACTGACATCGTGATTAGAACGAAACAGAAATCTCCCCATATACTCCTTAATTTGTCATCTACTGGAAATCTGTCGAAAGTGTGTGTATATTCACTTGAGCTTGCATATTCGCAGCCCGTTAAGCTTGTGTGGAAGAAAATTGAGCATTTAATTACATTTAAGCTATCCATGCCAATTATAGGGAAGTTGTTAGTAATTTTTTGCGGCAGATGGATTTATTTTTAATGGAAACCAAGAATATTACTAAAAAGGAACTTAAGTAGGTGAGGTTTCAATTATGATTTTATATCATACTCTGACACAAACTCTTGAATGACCATCGACTCTCTAAATGTCCAAAGTTTGAACATTCACTTATGCATGCATTTTCCAGAAAACTGAAGGCAATGTTTCTGGAAGCAATTACTGTAGTTTCTAAGAAAATGATATTATCTTTCTCTCTTTTGAATTCAATTTTCATTTTGTAACCAAATATTCCTTTTTATCTAAAAGCAAACGGAAAAGATGTTTTATTGATGAATATCATTTTGAAATTGAAAATTATATATACTCATATTATTTTACATTTAATTTTAAAAAATAAATAAAGATGGTAAGATTTAATTTCATGATTACTTAATTATTAAAATTCTAATATCATATTAAAAAATTAATTTAAATTAATAATTTAAAATTTTAAATAAAATTTTAAAATATAATTTATATTATTTCCTAATATAAGTGAAACCAGATAAATCTCAAAACCATCAACCCTCCTTCTATAGATGAAACCAAGTTGACTAATCTTGTAATCTCAATGCAGTTTTACACAGCTACAACTGCCTCCAAAGACAACAACCTAGGAGGAAAAGCACAGCAATCAGTTAGGTAAGAAGGTTTCTTTCTTTAGTTGAAGAGACCAAAATTGTGAGCTAAAAACAAATAAAGAACAATTACAACATCAATTGTAGTGGGTTTTGAGTTATCTTTTACCACCCACCCCCTTTTATGCATAGTTCCATTTTACGCCAACATACGCACTCTGATGGAGTAAAATTAAAAATCTACATAAAAGTAAAAGGCAGGCTAATTTCATTTCAAAATTTAACCAATACAAAAGAAGAAGAAGAATATCAAGCGTGGGATTACAGGTGGTTAAGAGAGAGCGAATTTAGAGGAGCTCGAGAAAAAGAGGAGGAAGAGGAAGAGCCAAGTTTAGCAATGGTGGAGAAGGCTAAAACCATCGTCATTTTTTTTTTAGATTAACGTGGGTGTCTGGGTCAGCTTGTGCGCATCACGACTAATCCCACGGGTCCTGAAGTTAATGACCATGTAAGCTTCCAGAGACTACAGAGGGAGCAAACCTTTTAATCCCAAGTCTTTACCACTTGGCTACCACCTAGATAGTTAAACCATCGTCATTTTTAATATACCCTAATGAAGTCAATCGTGTAAACTTTAGGATTGAATTGGATTTCCGTAGCTACGTATTGGGCGAAGTGTGTAAGAATGATATAGGGTTTGTCTCAGGGTTCATTTGTTACTGCAAAACAAGTTTCATGTTGGAATATGGAGCCCTATGACGCTTAATTCATTAAATATTGGAGCAGAAAGATTATACTAGAAAGAGAAATAGAATGAAGATAGCACGGTGTGTGTGTGAATTAACTAGTATGAAGCTCTTGAATGAATTTGAATTGGTTACTGATGATCAAAGATATTTATAGATATTTGTTATATTAATTTACCTTACAGACAGAGCATGAAGGGTGGTTTGTAGATACCTTGTGGTGCATGGAGTTACAGTAATTGAAGTAATGACGTAGAACAACCTCATGGTGAGTGGAGAAAAATGAATGAGAGATTAGTGCTTGTCCTGGGTTTATGGTACTTGTGATTGATGAAGAAGTTAGTCCTTCTTATTTACACAAGAGAAAGACTAACTTGAAATAAAATTTTAATCGATTAAATATAATAGATGAAATTAATTAAAAAAAAGAAATTAAAATAAAATTTTAATTTTATAAATTATTTCAAATAAAATAATTAAAAAAATATAACCCTGGTTTAAAAAAATATAATTTTTTCAAATTTATTTTGAAAGAAATAAAGGATAAGACGCTGGAATCAAGGAGAGGAGGGAAGAAGTGAAAAAAAGGGTTACTATTGCATATTAGACGTATTTTTGTTATATGCACCACCAAGATCTAGAGGAACTGCTAAAGATGATTTGAACACCATTTAGAAAGCTAATGTTGGACGACGCCTCATATATTTCACCTAAATAACATGGGTGTCTCCCACCCATTGGTACACACAAACCACTTTTTCTTTTTAAATAATACATTATATTTATTAAAATGTCAAATTAACTCTATGTAAACTTGATTATAACAAAAAACCAAGTTGAAACACAAAAAAAAACCTTTTGATGCTAGCTTAATAATTTTTTATTTTAAGAATAATTCAGTCATTTCATTATATATAAAAAAAATAAAAAGATGAAGCCCCTAAAATTTAGCTTATTTTTTTTTCTTTTAAGGGTAATTAAATAATTTTATTATGTTGAAAAATAATGAAAAAATCAATTCACTCCAATCAATATGATAACAACTAATGGATCACATGCAAAATATTATATTACTCCCAACATCTAATTGATTGATTTTGTTTGAAAATAACAAAAAGTTATTTTACTGTTTTAATCCAATAAAATACGTAGCCTTTTTAGTTTTTGTTTCTAATTAGTTAGATGGCTCACACTATATTATGTGCTAGGTTTTTTGTTTTTTTTTCTCATAACATAAAAAATATATTCATATAACATCAATATTTTCAAAGATGTAACAAAAATTTAAGATTCATATAATTCAATAAGATTGCTGGCATTCGTAGAATGATCCTGAAAAGCAAACAAAAATATAATATCATAAAATGAGTATCTTATATTTATATTTAATTAATTGATGTAATTTATTAAAAAAATAAAAGTCCTTTTATAAAAGTAAAATTCAACAAAGATCAGAAAAATTGCTTAAGATAACTAGTATTTTTTCAAAACAAATGGAAAATCTCATAGGAATTGAAAAACAAATCCAAGAAATTTTTTGAAAATGTAACAAAAAAAAGTTTTTTTTTTTAAATAAACTTAGATGAACCTCTCTAAACATAGATTGATTTCTCAAACTGCAATTCGTTCAATCCTAGAACTGAGCTCAACAAACAAGTTCAATGTGTGACTAATTTAATATTAAATTATAAAATAAATTAATTTAATTTAATTAAAAAACAAAATTCCTTTTAAAAAAATAGAATTTAAAATAATTTAATAAAGATAAAAAAAACTGAGACAATATTAAACCAATTAATGCTAAAGGATGGAATAAAATAATTTATTTTATTTCTTAAAAAAGTTGGATCTAACAAAGAGTTGTGTTAATCTCAAAGTGATTGAAAAATCCCGTAGAAATGAAAAAACATATTGAAGGATAAAACTAAAAAAAAAGAAGCAAACTCGGGGAATTTTCTAAATTTAGATTAATTTCTTAAATTCGCAATCTATTAAACTCTATACATGGGTTCAATTAAGAATCTCAATACTTGCCAAATTTAATGTTGAAGAATAAAATTATAAAAAAGTTAATAAAAAAATAATGATTAAATTCTATAAAAAAATCAAGAAGGATGATCGTGTAACAAAAAATAATTTTATAAGTCATCTTAAATAAAATAAAAAGTAATTAAAAAATAAGGATCAAACTTTATAAATAAAATAATCTATAAAAATTTAAAAAGAAAATTTATAAATTATTTCAAATAAAATAAATATTAATAAAAAAATAAAAACTAAATATAAAAAAATTAATTAAAAAATTGCATTGAGCTTTGTATTGGGTCAGGAGAGAGAAAATAAAAAAATAAAAATAAATAAACGATTGTTAACGAGAAACCGGAGGCAATGAAACCACAAAAGTCCACAGACCCGCTATAATTTTTCTAGAGCTCTCATGCGTCTCTTTATTATGTAAATAATATTATATAATTTGGTAAATAAAAAATAAAAAGGTATCAACCCCTATATCAAAACGATTATTACAGAAAGCCAGAGTGAAAATATACAAATACCCCTTCCTTCATGCCAACTGTTTTTTTAGCTTGTAGAGGTAATTTTGATAATTTATTGTGCAAATAAAACTGATAAAAACCAAAAATACCCCGAAGTAAAAAGATATCCATTATTTTGCTTTCAAGGTAACAAAATCATTTTAGCGTGGAGGAAAGTTGTGGAGGCCATTTGCCCCTAATTAATTCGGAAATGCCCTATGAATTTATTTGAAAAGACAAAACTGCCCCTAACCGCGCCTTTCTGATTTTGGTTTTTAATGGAGTTCTCGTGAAACTGGCTTGAACCAGCAGGGTAACAATTCACGTGTGACGTGGACACACACATTTGACAGTTGTCAAATTACATGACTGCCCTTGTGATGCATTCACTGTCTGCCTAGCCTCTTTCGGCTCGTAACGGCGTCGGTTTGGTCCTTCCAATTAGCAATCCCTAAAATTGACTTCTAAGGGCCATTCCCTGCATAGACTCCACCTCCGAACAAAGAACAGGTTGGAAGCTTTGCGCTAGTTAGTGTTGATAATGGCGAGAACGACCAGCAGAGACGCTCAAGCTCTCTTCCAATCCCTTCGTTCTGCTTATACTGCCACTCCTACTAGCCTCAAGGTCTCTCTCTCGCTCTATTTACCTTTTATTTTACAAGAATTTAATTTTTTTGTTTAAAATTAATCTTTTTATGTTTTTAGATTATTTAGATTTATTGTTATCAAAATATTTTTTCTTAAATATAATTTTAATGTATTTAAAAAAAAATCTTAAAAAGCATCTTGAATTTGTTTTTTTTTTTAAAAACGTTATTTTGATTACCTTGCCATATTCACCGAATTGTGCGCCTGTTTTATTCTCATAGAGCTCTGAACAACAAGGGCGGCACTTTAGCACTTTGATTGATTGTGAGTTGTGACCAATGATTATACAATGTTATGTCTCTAAACTTGATGAAAACTCTGCATGACGTAGATATCTTACGGAGCGATCTATTGCAAAGAGACGGACGGCATGGCTAGGCATTCTTTATCTACGCAGAGCAGAGGGGGAGTGGTTTCGCAACAACATTTTGTTTCAATATGGAGCACAAATTTGTGATTCTTTAGTGTAGTTTCTGATGTATCACTGATTAATAGTTAGCAGCACAATCGAGCTCAAAAGAAGCAATTGTCGTGTTAATTATTGCTACAGTTACTGCATGAGGTGTGGTTCTCATATCACTATGCAGCTGTGCTCGTCACTTCCAGTTAAAATTGTATGGCTAAACTACCATTTGAGGGTGTCCCCTCGCAAGGAGATTCACTATTATGATTGCTTGAAAGAAACTCTCGCTAGAAAGATTTCCACTCTGAGCATCCAAAATCACTGTTATAAGAACCCGACTTCACTGTCTAGTTTGACATATGAATCGAGGCTTGGATCGGTCTGGTGCATCTAACCTGCTAAGAAACCAGCATATATATTCGAACAAAATATCACGAATAAAACCCAAATTCCCTTATATTCATTTATGGACCAAAATATTATGGTATGACCTAACCAGGAACTGTGCTTTCATCTGGTGTGACTACATCTCTCCTTTTTAGAGAGATCCTCGGGAGTTCATTTTCATTCAAGTGAGGAAGGAAATTATCGCGTCGTTTCATGTCTGCATTTCCGCTTGATTTACTGAATTTTGTATGGGCCTCCTCATCAGTTTAATCTTCTTGCTGGTGGCCTTGATTTACAGTGCAGGGGTTTCAGTTGCCCTCATGCCTGTACTGTGTATTTAAAGTGAGGCTTTTGTAACCTGGAAGCAATCATATACTAACACCATACACACTCATATCGTGATTAGAACGAAACAGAAATCTCCCCATATACTCAATTTGTCATCTACTGGAAATCTGTCGAAAGTGTCCGTATATTCACTTGAGCTTGGATATTCGCAGCCCGTTAAGCTTGTGTGGAAGAAAATTGAGCATTTAATTACATTTAAGCTATCCATGCCAATTATAGGGAATTTGTTAGTAATTTTTGCGGCAGATGGATTTATTCTTAATGGAAACCAAGAATATTACTAAAATGAAACTTAAGTAGGTGAGGTTTCAAGTATGATTTTATAGCATGTTCAAATATATATTCTTGAGTGAAAATTATTGGAACACATAATTATTTTGTAATTAAAATTCCATGCATCAAATAACCATTTCAATCTACAAGAATAATTTTATATTGCTTTAGGAGACATTGCCATCGACCTCTCTGTATGTCCACAGTTTGAACATTCACTTAAGCATGCATTTTCCAGAACACTGAAGGCAATGTTTCTAGAAGCAATTACTGTAGTTTCTAAGAAAATAATATTATCTTTCTCCCATTTGAAGTCAATTTTCATTTTGTAACCAAATATTGCCTTTTATCTAAAAGCGAACGGAAAAGGTGTTCTATTGATGGATAAGCTAATTCACACTTACACTTTTGCTGCAGCTTCCTAGATTTGTTCAATTATAAATACACAGAAGAAGTCATCTTATATCACTGCATTTACTACCGCAAGTGCAAGATCATCAACATTAACAGGTGGTGCCAACAGGAGATTCGATGCTGAAAGGGAACTGAAGGACTTCGTCAAGGCCTTGACAGCATTGAGAATTCTCTTTGCTGGTTTTCATACAAAAAAGTTAATTCAATTTAATAACTTACGTATATTTTAAATAAAAAAAATTTAAACTTAAAATTTATGTAAATTTATATTATATTATATTATATTTTTATCAAATAAATAAAAATAATAAGATTTGAATTTCATAATTTTATCATATTATATTATATTTAATTCAATTTCATAACCGTTTAATCATTAAAGTTCTAATACTATATTAAAAAATTAATTTAAATTAATAATTTCAAATATTATATAAAATTTTAAAATTTTAAAATATTATTTATATTATTTTCGTAACGTAAAGTGAAATAAAATATAGAGGAATCTCAAAACCATCAACCCTCCTTCCATAGATGAAACCAGGTTGACTAAGCTTGTAATCTCTATGCGGTTTTACACAGCCACAGCTGCCTCCAAAGACAACAACCTAGTAGGAAAAGCACAGCAATCAGTTAGGTAAGAAGGTTTCTTTCTTTGAAGTTGAAGAGACCAAAATTGTGAGCTAAAAACAAATAAAGAACAATTACAACATCAATTGTAGTGGGTTTTAAGTCATCTTTTACCACCCACCCCCTTTTCTGCATAGTTCCATTTTACGCCAAACATACGCACTTTGATGGAGTAAAATTAAAAATCAAAATAAAAATAAAAGGCAGGCTAATTTCATTTCAAAATTTAACCAATACAAAAAAGGAAAAGAAAAAGAAAAATAACAAGCGTGGGATTACAGGTGGTTAAGAGAGAGCGATTTTAGAGGAGCTCGAGAAAAAGAGGAGGAAGAGGAAGAGCCAAGTTTAGCAATGGTGGAGAAGGCTAAAACCACCGTCATTTTGAATATACCCTAATGAAGTCTTGTAAAATTTAGGATTTAATTGGATTTCCATAGCTAAGTATTGGGCGAAGTGTGTAAGATTGATATAGGCTTTGTCTCTGAGTTCATCTGCTCCTGCAAAATTAACAAGTTTCATGTTGGAAGATGGAGCCCTATGACGCTTAATTCATTAAATATTGGAGGAGAAATATTATACTAGAAATAGAAATAGAATGAAGATAGCACGGTGTGTGTGTGGATTAACTAGTATGAAGCTCTTGAATGAATTTGAATTGCTTACCGATGATCAAAGATATTTATAGATATTTGTTATATTATTTTACCTTACAGGGCATGAAGGGTGGTTTGTTGATTCCTCGTGGTGCATGGAGTTACAGTAATTGAAGCAATGACGTAGAACAACCTCGTGGTGAGTTGAGAAAAAAATGAGAGATTAGTGCTTGTCATGGGTTTACGGTGCTTGTTATGTTAGTGATGAAGAAGTTAGTCCTTCTGATTTACACAAGAGAAAGACTGACTTGAAATAAAATTTTAATTTATCAAATATAATAGATGAAAATAATTAAAGGAGTATAAAATTGAAATAAAATTTTAATTTTATAAATTATTTTAAATAAAATAATTAAATGAATGATGAAAAGAATATGGCCCAATTTAAAAAAAAATAAAGGATAAGACGCTGAAATCAAGGAGGAGAGTGAAGAAGTTAAAAAAAGGGTTACCATTGCATATTAAATGTATTTTTGTTACATGCACCACCTAGGTTAGAGGAGCTGCTGAGATAATTTGAACATCATTTAGAAAGCCATAATTGGATGACGCCTCATATATTTCACCTAAACAACATGGGTGTCTCTCATTCATTGGTACATACAAACCACTTTTTTTTTTTTATAATATGTTATATTTATTAAAATATCAAATTAACCCTGTGTAAACTTGATTATAACAAAAAAATCAAGTTGAAAACACAAAAAAAAAAAAGCCTCTTGATACTGGCTTAATAATTTTTTATTTTAAAAATAATTCAGTCATTTTATTATATATAAAAAAATAAAAAGATGAAGCCCCTAAAAGTCAGCTTTTTTTTTTTTTTCTTTTAAGGATAATTAAATAATTTTATTATAATGAAAAATAATGAAAAAATCAATTCACTCCAATTAATATGATAACAACTAATGGATCACATGCAAAATACTATATTACTCCCAACATTTAATTGATTGATTTTGTTTGAAAATAACAAAAATTTATTTTACTTTTTCAATTCACAATAAAATTTATAGTGCTTTTACTTTTAGTTTTTAACTAGTTAGATGGTTCACGCTATATTGTATGCTAGGTTTTTTTTTTGTTCTCGTAACATAAGAAAACATATTCATATAATTCAATAAGATTGCCGACATTCATAGAATGATCCTGAAAAGCAAACAAAAAAATAATATCATAAAATGAGTATTTTATGTTTATATTTAATTAATTGATGTAATTTATTAAAAAATAAAAGTCCTTTTAAAAAAGTAAAATTCAATAAAGATCATAAAAATTGCTTAAGATAACTAGTATTTTTTCAAAACAAATGGAAAATCCCATAGGAAGTGAAAAACAAATCCAAGAAAATTTTTGAAGATGTAACAAATTTTTTTTTTTTAAAAAAAGTAAACTTAGATGAACCTCTCTAAACATAGATTAATTTCTCAAACTGCAATTCGTTCAATCCTAGAACTGAGCTCAACAAACAAGTTCAATGTGCGACTAATTTAATATTAAATTATAAAATAAAATAAAACAATTTAATTTAAAAACAAAATTCCTTTTAAAAAAGTAGAATTTAAAATAATTTAATAAAGATAAAAAAACTAAGACAATATTAAACCAATTAATGTTGAAGGATGGAATAAAATTGGATCTGACAAAGAGTTGCGTTAATCTCAAAGTGATTGAAAAATCCCGTAGAAATGAAAAAATATATTGAAGGATAAAACTAAAAAAATAAAAAAAAAGAAGCAAACTCGGGGAATTTTCTAAATTCAGATTAATTTCTCAAACTTACAATCTATTAAGCTCTATACATGGGTTCAATTAAGAATCTCAACACTTGCCGAATTTAATGTTAAAAAATAAAATTATAAAAAAAATTAATAAAAAAATAAGGATCAAATTCTATAGAAAAAAATCAAAAAGGATGATCGTGTAACAAAAAATAATTTTATAAGTCATCTTAAATAAAATAAAAGGTAATTAAAAAATAAGGATCAAATCTAACAAATAAAATAATCTATAAAAAATAAAATTAAAAAGAGAATTTATAAATTATTTCAAATAAAATAAATATTAATAAAAAATAAAAACTAAATATAAAAAAATTAATTAAAATGTTGCATTTGGCTTTGTATTGGGTAAGGGGAGAGAAAATAAAAATAATAAAAAATAAACGATTGTTAACGATAAACCGGAGGCAATGAAACCACAGAAGTCCACAGCATGACCCGCTATAATTTTTCTAGAGCTCTCATGCGCCTCTTTATTATGTAAATAATATTATATAATTTGGTAAAAAAATAAATAAACACACACATTTGACAGTTGTCAAATTACATGACTGCCCTTGTGATGCATTCACTGTCTGCCTAGCCTCTTTCGGCTCGTAACGGCGTCGGTTTGGTCCTTCCAATTAGCAATCCCTAAAATTGACTTCTAAGGGCCATTCCCTGCATAGACTCCACCTCCGAACAAAGAACAGGTTGGAAGCTTTGCGCTAGTTAGTGTTGATAATGGCGAGAACGACCAGCAGAGACGCTCAAGCTCTCTTCCAATCCCTTCGTTCTGCTTATACTGCCACTCCTACTAGCCTCAAGGTCTCTCTCTCGCTCTATTTACCTTTTATTTCCTTAATTTTTTATGATGAAGCTCTAAAATTGAGTTATTTTTGTTGTCCAGATTATCGATCTGTATGTGGTTTTTGCATTTTTCACTGCTATAATTCAGGTACGGCTTTCCTCTAACTTTTTTAATTGTTATTATTGATCTGTTATTTTACTTCGATTCTGATGCGGTGATTTTTGAGATTTGAAGGATCGGCTTATTGTTTTGATGAGGTAGTAATGTTAGGAATTGGATCTGTGATGGGTTCGATTGGATCAGTGGAAGATGAACATGATAAAGAATAATGTCAGATTCAGGCAAATTTTGAGGTTTATTAGAATCAAGTGATAATAAAACAACTATGATTGTGAGGTAAAATGTCGGTATATGAAATGTTCCATTAATTGAGTTATCAGTCTGTCAAGTGCGTTTCTTTTTCTGGTTGTATTACCTGATTGTGTGAACTCGTGCATCTTGATTTTCTTACTTCTAAAAAGTTAAGGGTCCGGTTCTGGAAAAATAAATGAGGGAGAAGAACTTAAAGGGCCAAAACAAATTAATGATTTAAGAGTCATCTCGATAACGTTCTCTCTATTTTATTCCTTGTATTGTTCATTGGAGCTGTCTTGTGCGCTGATATAAATTTCTGCTGCACATGGCATCACTCTTTTCACTTGGCACACATCCTTGAGTTCTATCTTATCTTTGCATAGTTGGGGGGAATATATGGATGCATTATGGGAAAGGGGGAGGAAGAAAGTGTTAAGCATTTGTTTACTCACTGATGTATTTTCAGAGCTTTAGGACATTATTTTCATTTTGTTGGAGTACTAACCACCACACCAACAAGTTCACAAATCATCTAAAAACCAATGAGGTTCATGGTCCAAACAATAATGAATAAAACAAGAAGGAGAACTGATGAGCCCCGTGACATATTTGATGAATCATGGATGCAGCAGTCGTTCATCTCTTTTAAAGGGCTCATTTTAGATTCAAATAAAAGCATGATTTAGCAACATGTCCTTTGGCATAACGATTTGTATTGGAATATTTTTTTTCTTTTTAAGAATGATAGGGAACTTATTGATGGTGGATAATTAAGCCTTGAGTGAATAGAAGGGGATAAAAAGGAGCACAAAAGTTCGTACCTGTAATTATTGAGCAAAACAAAAAAGGGGTAACAACCAAAGGTGGTTTTATATTCAAAAAATCATGGATAGATTGCTAATCTTTCAAATAAGCTGGCACATCAACCAGATTTTATATACTATGGCTGTGCTCTATATACACCTTAAGCATTATATACACCCAACGAAAAGCATTAAAGTTCCTTTCAATGGTGGGTTTCTTGGAATATACATGTGCGATTAGATTTACAGTGCATACTGATACATGGAAATATTGTAACAGTAATAACTTACAAGGACAATAGTGTGTAAAGATCATCTATGCTAATCTCACACCTTTCCTTTGGTCACTGCCTTTTCCCAGTTTCTTCTTCCTGTGCTGCATCATTTACCTGGAGGAGGTGCTGCAATTTCAGAACTTGCTGTTTCTGCATTTTCAATGCCTTTCTTCCCTTTTGTGAATGTTTTTCTTCTTCTTGTTGAGTTAGAATAGCATAAGTACTCTAATCCAGTTTCTCTTTCTAGAATTACTCATGTTTTTGACCATCAAAGATGCATTCTTATTTGAATTCAAAGGGTAACTCTCAATGACCATTTCAGGATGTAATTTTCAATAGAATTTATCTATTGTGCCAAGCACATACTTCAAGCCATCTCAAACTCACCCCCCCCCCCCCCCCCCCCCCCCCTATAGAATTTATCTATTGTGTCAACACATACTTCAAGCCATCTCAAACTCCACCCCCCCTCTCCTCCCTTGCAATCCTCTTGCATGATTTGTTCAATGTAAGTTTGGTTGGTTATGCTATCCTGCTTGCTTAACTTTTTTGGTGATCAACAGGTAGTGTACATGGCCATTGTTGGGTCATTTCCATTCAACTCTTTTCTTTCTGGTGTACTTTCTTGTGTAGGGACTGCAGTCCTTGCTGGTAAGTAGTTATTGTTTAGCGAGATAATAGCTGCTAAAATTCACAATAGAGAGATTAATTTGTTTCACTTGTCACAGTTTGTCTCCGTATCCAAGTGAACAAGGAAAACAAGGAATTCAAGGTAAGACTATTCTGTTAATTTCTCATCTTATGGTAGTTATTGAGAAAAAGAAGGAAAAAATAAAACCACCCCCAACCCCCAAGAGGGAGTGGAGGAATAAATCGAATTAATATTTTTAATGTTTTTCTTAAAGTTTTGTAGAGTTGTGCTATTGAACTCATTGAAACTTGCTTTTAAACACTTGGGCGCTTAAGGTGTCTAGTCAGAACCATTTGTCTCACTCCAACTGATAACTGGTCACTTATTTGGTAAAGAGACAAACTGAAAGTTGATTCGGAATTGGGCCTCAACTTTCTAAAGGCAGTTATCAGCTTGAGTGAAACAAGGAGCCATTATGTGGGTAGTTTAATTGAATGTTTAAAAGCAACTATTGAAGTGAGTGTTGATAGCATTCCCTATTTTTGTATTACAAATAGTTGATGTTTCTTTCAACCAATTACAGGATTTACCACCAGAGCGTGCGTTTGCTGATTTTGTTCTCTGCAATTTGGTGCTCCATTTGGTGATTATGAATTTCCTAGGTTAAGGTTGAGCCCTGCTGGCTCCCTGTTTTGTTGGGCTGTAGCTGTGAAACATATTTATAGAGTAATTTTATCAATTCAAGCAAATTTTAATAGGACATGGCTTATAAGTGAATTGCCGGATTGCAATTAAGATTTTTGGTGCTTAGTTTTTTGCTTTGTTGAGAAGTCCGTATTGCTCGCAAGGAAATGCTATTTCGCATTGATCAAACTTGGTTTTTATAGATCCTTTACCTAGAAAGGTGTGTCCTGAAAAACTTTCCTTTTCCTTCCCATGAATGATTGTTAGGCGTGATTAGATGTTGGCTTTGATTTCCAATAAAACAGAAACTTTTCGTGATTTTGCTGTTTGGAAACTTGCACGGTTGCATTTCAGTAAGTCGCTGGATTCATTGATTGCTTTCACGCGTATAGAGAAGACAAGACGGTTAAACCGGAGACCTCCATTGCCATGTCTTGTAGATGCATGTGATATAGTTATCCAGATGGACGGGTAATTAAATTTGCCAGAAATACAATCGTATAAATGAAATAATTCTGACAATATTAAAAATTTAGTACTGCAAGTAGATTGGATTTCACATTAATTTTTATTCTTAAAGTGGCTTGGGATTTTATTTTAATATCTTGATAACTGGGTACTCGGAAGGTTTTAACAAATCTTTGTCTTCAATAATGTCCAGCATTCAGATTTAAACAATTTTGAAACACTAATTTTTAGTGTTACCAAGTGTTATATGAAGTAATATAAAAAGCCATTCTATGTTTCTATTCCCATGTGCCTCGTCTAACATAAAAAGCCATTCTAAGTTTCTATTCCCATGTGCCTCGTCTAACACCTAGAACTCTCAAGAGTAGGTGTCATTTTACACGGTACAAGAATCCAGCTGAATGTTCTAGTGTTAAAAGAGCTTGAATCCTAGCATTCTTCAAATATTCTAGTGTTATGGAGCTTGAAGTAACTGCAGAGCATCACCATCGCAATATGTTCCTTTTTCTCGGCGACTATGAAGAACGACGCACGTCATTCTTCTCGCTTCAGTTTCTTCAAAAACTTCTTGAGCGTAGCAAATCTCCCGCGAACACGAGGTCTCCCATCAGCTATGGCTTTTCGGCAAGCATACTGCAAAACATAACAAGCATTATTAAAGATTAAGTTCACAATTTCTAATAAAGTGTTTAACATATAAAATGGGTTAAAAATTCAAGTACATTGAGAGTACGGAAATAAAATTTAACCTCAATGTTGTCGTTGAATTTCCATTGTTTCTTGTTCTTAAAATTCTCTCCTTCCTCTCTTCTACCTTGTACCGGCAGTTCTTTTCTGTCTCGGTGTTTCCCAATTGCAGCCGTGTGATTGTATTCAAGTTCCTACGTAACTTATAAACCATAAACACCACAAAGAAATCTATATGTGCAAAGAAATGAGCACTAGAAACATCTTAAATTCTAATCCTATAGATCATCATAGCAGGAGCTTGAAAAAAAATGTCCATAGCCGTTTTTCTCCTGAAGGACAGACAGGCGTTAAATGTGGATAAACTTCCCAAAATCTTCCCCATACCCATAAACGCAGGAAATTGGATTCCGTCATGAAAATCCTGAGTTTTGGCAATGTCAGCAATACACGCCATTTTATAATCCATTAATGTAGGCGGATCCATACCCAAAATCCCAGATGTTTCGGGCAACGAATTCAATACTGTAATCGGCGACATGATCTCAGATTGCCCCAGGAAAATATTAAGTGCATCATAATCTTTATGATCATACAATATTGGGAAGTCGTCATGATCTTGATGATCAGCCAACATTGCACAACTAAAATTAGAAAGTGCACCACTAGATATATATGTTTGTCTAGTTTGAAAATAAATAAAGAAATTTTTTTTATCTCATTGAAAAAAAAATCATCCTAAATGTTTACAAGTATAATTTTTTATTGTGCAATAAATTAAATAAAAATCATGATAGATAAACTCTCTTGGTAATATGTTAGTTAATATGTTAGTTAATATGTTAGTGATGTTAATTTTTTTTGGGGTTTTTTAATGATTTTAAATGGATATTTATAACATCGACAAATAACACTTGATACTTAATATGTTAATATGTTAGTGATGTTAATTTTTTTTAAATTTGTTTCTTTTTATTTTTATAATTAATTTTAATATTTGTGGCTGTTAGGATAAAAATGAATAATAGTTATTCAATTTAATTTAAAATATAACTATTTAATGTTTTAAGTATATATAAAACTGTTGCTACACAAAAACATATATAAAAAAAACAGTGTATTTTCTTTCTTTGTCTTTTTATTTTATTTTCCAGAGGTTTATAGGATTTAATTATATTATGAAGATGTTATATCTTTATGAGACAAATAAACACCTCAAAACTAATATTTTTCAATGTATTTTCTTTCTTTGTTGTTTTATTTTATTTTTCAGAGGTTTATAGGATTTAATTATATTATAAAGATGTTATATCGTTATGAGAGAAATAAACACCTCAAAACTAATATTTTTCATGTCTTTAAACCACCTCTTGTAGTCATTTCCATGTCCAGATAGTTTACTTACATTAACAATATTTGTGCCTTAAAATGAATCAGTTCTGGCATAACTTCGATCTTGAGCCGTTATAGAATTCATCTGGAGAAAATTCATAGTTAGAAAATAAACCAGGAATGGAAGGAAGAGGAACATGTCGGCATCAAGGGCTTTAGGCAAGTTTCTGCCTGGAACTGTCCGGGAAGCACGTAGGCGTAGCTTAAGACATGATAACCTAGAATAGGCAATCCTCCACTTAGGAGAGAAATCCAATCTAACTAATCTCCCCCTTCTCGACTCGGTGGAAGGATTCATTATTTCACCAATTGAGCAACAAGTCTCAAGCTTTTCCCTTTCTAGGGCTTTCTTCAACGTAGCAAATCATTATCATCGGTGTGAATTTTCTCAAGTTCTAACAACTTGCCTTTAAAATATTCTCTTATTCAATGATACCTCACATCGATGTGTTTCAACCTTGAATTGAACATGGAGTTTGTAGCTAGTTCAATAAAACTTACATTGCTGTAAGACGATGTGTTTCAACCTTGAATTGAATTGAACATGGAGTTTGTAGCCAGTTCAATAAAACTTACATTGCTGTAAGATACCATCTATTATTGTTATCGAAAACCAAGTTCTCTACAAACAAATTCAGCCATAACAACTATTTACAAGCTTATGTACTTGTAATAAACTCTATCTTTATAGACTTGATTCATTATGTTCACGTTACCTCATTTTATTAGGCATGTTCAAGAGAAGATCGTTCTCTTTGAGTTGTTAGACTACCAAATTTGAGTACTTTTATAATTATTTTTTTGAAGTTATTGTTTTAACCATATAAGATAAACAATAATAAAGCAAACTTTAATTAAAAAAAAAAAATCTCATCAAATTTATAAACTGAAATAATTTGGATTATCCTAATAAAATAGATAAATCATTTTAACCTCGTAAAAATAGCAAAATAAAAAGAAATAAATCACAAAACTTCATCTTTAATTACTTTAATATTAAAAAATAAATGAAAAGAAAATTTTTAAAAAGAAAAACTACATAAAAAAGTGATAAAAAATAACAAAAAAAAAGGAATGCAATATAAATTATTATTATTATCTACAGTATAATGAATATGACTAAACAGTAAATTTCCCCATGCATGTATAATGTATAATAATAATATAATGCATGTTAACAGTACTTTCTAGACATATGATGGGAGGCCACTGGCCAGGCCGCACTTCTTTTTCGTGGCTTGAATCATTTATGTCCTCCTAAACAATTGAACTATGCATCCCTGATCCTACATGTGGCATCCTAGACGGGCAAAAGGATGCCGTGGGGACACGAGAGCCGTCTAAAATACAAAATCAAAGAGGAGTAATTTGGTGAGTCATCAGCATGTGATAAGCCTCGTGGGATCATCTTAGAGTGAAAGACAAATAGGTAAGCCAAATGCCATATCAAAACTGAGTGAGATGGGCCCTTCCACAATTAAGACCTACTGTATTAATGTGTGTCCCACGCGCCACCCCCATCTGCCTATCAACAAGGAAACAACTGCTTCTTTCAGGTGGACCTGTTGACGCAACAAGTCCTTCGTTGGTGGACGGGACTTTGGGCCCACTTTTTGATGGGTTTTGTTCTGGGAAATGGATACTACTCTGCTGGCTGATTGCCTGACAAGTTATGTGCCACAGCCTGCAGCTGTAACTATACATTTTCTTCTGTGCCAATTATCAGAGCACCCCATGTACTGATTGTTTTTTCCTTGAAATATCGTGATTTTTAAAAATTTTATATTTAAAATTATTTTTTTTATATTTTTAGATTTTTTTTTTATGTTTTGAGATTTTTTTAATGTGATTATATTTTTTGATGTTTTGAGATTTTTTTAATGTGATTATATTAAAAATATTTTTTTAAAACAAGTTTTCATATTTATTTAATTAAAAAACATTTTAAAAAATAAATATTACTGTGTAGTCGAACATATCTAATATAGAATAAATTTAATATTTATGTGAATTATATATCAGGTTAATATATTCTTTTAAATGTTTTCTATCAACTCTGTACTTTGGTTGAATTGGTTCACGTGTAGCAGTGATAACAAGGCGCATTTTTTTACCAAGCCTAGCATAGCTCAGTAAAGAACGGGCTTAAAAAAAAAAAATTAATATTATATTTTTATTGAAATTTATCTTTTATTATTGAAAAAATTGTATATTAATTTTTATATTTTTATTATATAATATAATAAAATAAAATCAATTCAACTCGATAAGATTTATAATTAGTCTTATTTTTCCCTCTCATATTTGTCATTTTTCTGTTCTTTTAGTTTAGTTTTTCAACCTGGTCTAAGAAATTTTTAATTTTTTATTAAGTTTAAATTTTTAATTTTAGGTTAATCGAACTTTATAATTAATTTTTTTTATTTTACTTTTTTATAATGTTATTGTCCTGTCAAATAAATATCTTAACATTGAATTAATGATTAACTTTATGATAATTTATTTTTTTAATTTTCAATCAAATAAAAAATAATTTTTGAAATAAAAATTATTAAACTCTGTAAAGTCAATAACTTAATTTGAGGGTTTGAAAAGTAACTTAAATTGTTTTAATTTGTGAGCTTAACGAGTTACTTTTTTTTCTTTAATTAAACTTCATTTTATGATTCTCTATTTTTTTATCATATAATTTAAAAAAATTACTTTAAAAAATTACTATATTATTAGATTTTATAAAATCTATGGACATCTTCATGGGTTTAACACGTTGATCT